GGCTACACCCTTCCTTCCCTAAGAGGCAATGTATTAGTTACTTTCCTGTTGCTGTGATTAAACACTGTGAACCAATGGAACCTATAAAAGGAAGAGTTTATTTGAGCTTACAGTTCCAGTGAGGCAAGAGTCTGTCCTGGTGGGCAGGCAAGGCGGCAGAGGTGGCTGGAGTAGAAAGCAGAGCCCTCGCATCTTCAAGCAGACACAGGAAGCAGAGCTGGACTGGAAATCCAGCAAGGCTTAAGAACTCTCAAAATCCACCCCCAGTGACACACTTCCTTAACAAGGTTACACATCCTAAAACCTCCCAGAACAGCATCCGCAACTGGGGACAAAATGTCCAAATCCTTGGCACCTATGGGGGACATTCTCATTCAAGCCACCACAGGCAACGTATCCAAAAGGAAGCCAAAGCGGGGCACAAATGTCTAGCCCCTTTGCCGCAATTCAGGTCACCTCTGACGGGCTGTCTGAGCCTCAGACCTCCTCACAGGTGGATTTCTGTAGAATGATGGATTCTCATAACCCGTCTACCGTATGAGCAGTAGGGATTTGACTGAGAATATTTGAGATGAATGTTTGGGTCACTGAATTTGAAAATCCAAAATTCTAGGTTTCCTTGAAGCTTTGGGCCTACCTATGGTGGTGGCCTGGCCTCCTAGCTTAACACTGTGTTCTCCACCTACCTCAAAGACATTTCAGACATTTCTGCCTTGAAGATCACAGACACCCAGCTCAGAAACCAACCTCCTCACCTTTCCTCCATGGCCACCAGAACAATAACCACAGTTAAGACCAAAAATAATTCAGGGAAGTGCTGGGGCTAGTAGGGGTGAAAGGGCTTATACTCTCTAAGACCTCAAGGAGGAAGCCAGTACTTATCTACAGAAGCAGGGAGAGTATGCTTGTGACCAGCCCCTAAGGTACAGGGTGAAGGGGAGTAGAACGGTGTGGGAAGGAAGAGTTTGTCAGTATAGAAACTCTTGTGATTCAGGGTTTAGTGCCATCACCAAAGGAGAATTTGGTGAGGCACTGCTAGGTTGACTTTGGGAAACTTGGAGAAAATGAAGGTATAAAAAGAAGTAGAGATGTGATAGCTTCCACAGCAGATGGCAGAAGAAGAAAATATAGAATTAGAGAAGTGCCTCGAGGTAAGAAGAAGTAGGTGGTGGCTAGCGCTTGGCAAGTTGATCAAGTCCTGAACTGAGAAATTTTGGAAAATAGAGGACAGTGACAGCTGGGGGACTGAGGAGTAGGTCTAAGCACTCAGTCACTTCTGAATCTGTGCCAAGGAAGTAGGTCACTACTGTGGAATGGGTAGTTGACCCCAGTCACCAGGGGGAGAGAACTATAGGTAAAACATTAACAGAAAATGTGATTAAATAATTAACAAGTTGACTTAGAACCTCATATACATTAAATAGATATTGCACATTATTTTCAAACACAAAAAATATTTTTGAGTCTAACACATGTGAAATCAAAAGAATCCTATTAAACAAATGCCAAAGAGTTGATTGCATGTAAGCTTCTTAACATCGATAATCACACAACTATAGGTTAGGGTCCCTGGAAAGCAGACTCTAGGGTAGAGATTAGAATGTTTAGGGAATGACATTCACATCAAGTCTTATGAAAGAGGGAGACATGGGGCTGTATCAGTGCAGTCTAGTCAGTGTCACTGGGAGCACTAGATAAAGGCATGCCTTCTCAGAACCGGAACAGGGGACCAAGGATAAGCAAATGCCATGTGTTTGATAGATATCCACAGTTTGAGAGATAGTCTGACAACCACACGCACAGCTAAAAAGGTGTGTTCTGAGCAAAAATCTCCCAAATGTCATTCTCTGTAAAACTTTTTAGCAACTAGGAGAAAAGTATCTTCCATTCATGAAAAACATTTAGGTATGAAATCAGAAAAACATTTAATATATATCTATGTACAGTAGTTATTGACTTGTAAGGCATATACTGATATACTTTATTGATTTCTATATGTATGTTATGAAACAATATAAATTCAGAAATGAGAGAATGAAATAAGCAACATATTAAAACATTTTGGTAAAATGTCATGGCTTTATTTATTATTATTGCTATTAGCTAATATCACAAGACAATGTGCATTTAGGGCAAAATTCATCATGAATGGTACTGATTTCTTTAAAACTTTCATTATCTTCATGCAGGTTTGACTAGGTCATTCTATCTTGTGAAGTAGTTCACAGAATGCTACTTTGCCACTTTCTAGTTTCTGTGACATAACCTCATGAGGCTAGCAGTGTCCCATGGCTCACAGACAGTCAGCCAGGGTTAGCTTCTTAGCTTTAAGATGAAAACAAGAGGATAGGAGTTCTAATGTTTTCTGCTTGAACTGCTGTGAATCATTATTCAGATTCCTCTGGCCTTGGGCAACTTGTCTCTAATTTAGTGAGCAGGTATATGAATTCCAGCTTTGGCACTTCATGAGAGATACTGCTTTTCAAATTATTCCTCTCCATCATGCCACCTTAAGGCACCTCCCCAATAATACGCATGTCATTGTGTTTTAATATTTAATTATGTATCAGGAAATTTGAGGTTAAAGTAGACCTTTGAAACTACACCTTACTCAATGCTGATGCAAAGTCTTGTTCTCACGTTCAGAGTGGGCCTATCCATGAACTGCCTACTACAATTATGTGCACAGTATAAAATACAAATTTCAAGTTAAGTTGAAAAACACAGCAGCTCAAACAAAGAGAAATTTTTTTTGTCTTTTTGAGACAGGGTCTCCCTATAGCCTCAGCTGGAACTCACTATGTAGACCAGGCTGGCCTCAAACTTACAAAGATCCGCCTGCTTCTGCCTCCCAAGTGCTGGGATTAAAGGCATGTGCCACCACGCCCAGCAAAGAGAAAATTTTTAAAGCAAGGAATTGTTTCATAAGACCAGATTGTTGAAACTCCCTGTGCATCAAAAATAAAACAAAATGGCATCCCTACACCCCACCCCCAGTAATTCCTGGACCCCACATGAATTATTGGTCAGATTCAGGTCAGCTATGACTAAAAGCCTGTGGTAACACTGGCTTCCCGTGATATCCGACCTCTCACACATGAATGGCTGTAGGAAAGTCACTATAAGTAACAATTGTGCTCTCTGAGGCCCTCAGGGACCCAGTCTTTTTTGACAGCATCTATTTTAGGGCATTGCCTTTGTCTTCAAGGTTCAGTGAACAGAGCTCTAGCCTTTACACCTGTGTACCATGTAGCAAGATGAAAGGAGACCTTAAAAGAAACTGGCAAAGGATGCACATTATAGGACTGTTAAAGTAGCTTCCTAAAGCAGATTGTCAGTTACAGCCCACTCTCCAGAACATGCCCACTGCATGGTATAAGAGAAATTGACAAAGATATTTTAAATTATGGCTAGTATATACATAGCTAAAAATTGGAAGTTAATACTGTAAGGGGAACACCGGGTAACAGTCAACAGTTCTGTGTCAGTATTTTCAAAGAACTCTTCAAGACCTCCAACTACTCTGAAATCCAAGTGTAGTTACCTTTCAGAGGAGGTTCTGCCCTAACCTCACCCTAAGGACACCACTTTCTGACTATAAATAGCACCTGCTTCTGCATCCTCTGGGAGAAATGGAATAGCCTAAGTACAATCAAAATGTTCTCAAGACACATCTCACCAGCTCTCCTCAGGACGACTTGGAAGAGGCTCTCCTCAGGGACTTGCTCAGGCAGGTGAAAGAGAACAAATAAATACTATGATCGAAATACCTTAAATTCCTAGTGTAGTAATTAAAATCCTGTTCAACTCCCCTAAATTCCCCTTTCTTAGTTGCTAAAGAAAAAAAACAAAATGTAAAATAACGGTGCTGAATAGCTTTAGTTGTCAACTTGACACATCTGGGTAGAGGGAGCCTCAGCTGGGGAATTGCCTCCACTGGACTGGCCTGTGGCCATGTCTATGGGATAGTTTCTTGATTGCTGAGTGATGTGGGAAGGCCCAACCCGCTGTGGGCAGTGCAACCCCTGGAGAGGTTGTTCTGTATTATATATATAAAGCAGGCTGAGCAGGGGCTAGAGGAGCAAGTCAGTAAGCAGCGTTCTTCCATGGCCTGTGCTCTAGCTCCTGCTTTCAGATTCCTGCCCTGAGTTCCTACCTTGGGATCCCTGACAAATTGTGACCTGGGAGATGTAAACCAAATAAACCCTTTCCTCCCCAAGTTGGTATTGGTCAGAGTGTTTTCTCACAGCAATGGAGACACAAACTAGAACAAAAATTGGTACCAGGAGTGAGATACTGATGTGACAGACCTGACTTTGGTGTTTTGGGGAGGATTGTGGAAGCATTTGGAACTTTAGGCTGGAAAAGCCATTCAGTGTTTAGAGTTTGTTTCTGTGGAGCTTGAAACAGTTATACTGAAAGAATTTAGGCAATGGATGCCTGGCTTGTGAAGCTTCAAAGGGAAGTGGAGACTATCAGGGCTGTTTATGTGATATCTTGAATTGAGAATCTGTGGGTTCTAATCTGATGGGGCTGAAGAATCAGGTATGATTAAGAAGAGACCAGAACCACTGAAGTAAAACCTTTGCTTTACTTGCAGGATTACTTGATAGGATTATAGTATCACCAAAGCCAGCTATGTTGTTTTAGAATAGAAAATTTATACTCTCTTCATCTGAGATTTCTCCATCAGGAATTCTGATGACTTTGCTTGGATTAAAAGATGAAAATATGGGGATGGAGAGATGGTTCAGTAGTTAAGAGCACTGACTATTCTTGCAGAGGATCTGGGTTCAATTCCCAGCACCCACATGTTCAGTAACTCCAGCTCCAAGGGATCTGATGTCCTCTTCTGACCTTCATGGGCATTGTATGACATGAGTGCACTTACACACATGCAGGCAATACACTCATACACATAAAATGAAAATAATGAATAAAATATATTTTTCCAAGGTGAAAATATTGTGAAGACTGGTTTTATATGATGAAAAGCCTCATTTATTTTATTAATTTTATTGAGACATTATAGACATACCATATAATTCATTTTTAAACCATTCAACTTAATGTAATCTGGTATATTTGCAGAGTTACAGAACCACCACCACGGTGAGTTTAGAAAACACTGTCAACCCCCAAAGACATTTTGCACAAGTTTTTGTCACCCAAGGCAAAAACTCAGAAGAGAAGAACTCTTATGGTAGTAAGTAAGTCACTGAATTTTCCCGATAGAAGTGGTCAGAAGTACAGGAAGCACAGACCTAAAATCCCACGGTAGAATCATGAGGCAGAAGCACCAAAGGAGAGCTTTTATCATGAGCTCATAACCATAATAATTATCATTATTTGTACTTTGAGCACTCTCTTCGGATTGGGGATTGAATCACTGAATTCAGTGTGTTATCTCAGTTGCCAACACATGAGGCAGAAGGCTGAATCACAGTTTACTGCTGTGGGGCCCTGCCAAGCTTTGCCATTCTTTCAGAGGAGGGTTTCCCTGGGCAACCAACCTTCTTAGGTAGTCACTGGGCTCCAGCTGTGGGATGTCAGGGTTCTGCCTGTAATATTTCTGCAATTTCTCTAGAATTGTGGGCAGCCCAACTGAGGCAGCATAGAACATGGGCCCACCTGTGTGCCTTGGCCATCCGTACCCATGCAAGTAGATGACATCAATGTGCTCTGGGCTAGCAGCTATCCCTTCTCCCAAGATACGGAATGCCTCATTGATAAGGGAGTACAAGCAGCGCTCCAAGATCTCATCCTTGCTGATGGAGCGTTCCTTGATGTGATGGGTTTCTCTGTACTGGGACAGAAACTTGGAAATCCAGGGATCAGGTTTGTGACTCTTACCCAGCGGCTTGTCATATTGATACCAACCCTTGCCTGTCTTCTGGCCAAATCGCCCAGATTCATAGAGCAGATCAGCAAGTGGGGAGTATCTGCTATTGCCACGCTTCCGGGCAGGAGTTCCCGGTGGCAATGAAGGTCCGGTAAGGCCTTGCCCCTTACGAATGTTCCAACCCACATCCAGCCCTGAAAGGTCAAATACCCTGAAGAGTCCCATTTTAAAACCAAACTCTTCTAGTACCCCATCTATGTCCTCTGGCTTGCTACCCTCTTCTAACATGAACTGTGCCTGGTTGTAATAAGGACTCAGCATTCGATTCCCAACAAATCCATAGCAGTTGCCTACAACTACTCCTATCTTGCCAATCTTTTTTGATAAGCTCATAACAGTGGCAATAGTATCAGGAGAAGTATATCGGCTGGGAATAATCTCTAACAATTTCATGATATTAGCTGGTGAGAAGAAGTGGGTGCCGATCACCAGATGAGGACGGTCTGTGGAAGAAGCAATCTCATCCACATCCAGGGCTGAAGTATTGGTACACAGAAAAGCTTGTGGCTTACACACAGCTGACAGTTCAGCAAAGACCTGCTTTTTCAGGCATATATCTTCAAACACCGCTTCAACCACCAAATCCACCCTTGAAAGCTCTTTTATAGATGAGGAAAACTTAAGTTTGGGTGCTGACCAAGCTTGGCCACTCTGCCGCAGTTTGGATGCTTCTTTTTCTAAGTTGGAAGTTATTTGCTTCTTTGCAACCTCCAGCTGCTTTTGGTCTGATTCTACAGCAACCACTGGGATCCCGGCCCTTGCAAAAGAAATAGAAATGCCTCGGCCCATTGTTCCCAAGCCTGTGAATTAAGAGTAAAGGGAAGAAAAATGATTCAGTGGTACTGGGAGCTGAAAAAACATTCACTAGTAGAACACATCTACAGCATTTTAAAAGATTGTGTTGGGGACAAGGTTGCTGCTCAGTACCATGCGCTGATCATGCATCAAACCCTGGCATCCATCCCTAATACCAAATCAACAGCAAAACAACAATCAGAACCCCCAAAATATCTGAAAGATTGGTTATCAATAATAAATGTATTGAATAGTTTATGCACCATTAAGTGCTCCAGAGGAAATAAAGATCAGTAGGATTTACACACACACACACACACACACACACACACACACACACACAAAGCTATTAAAACCAATAAATAAGTCCAATAAACTTAAGGATATGTAATCTCTACATAAACCCAAATGTATTTTTTAAAGTACTTATAAAGTATTTATTTATTAAATGTGTTTGTGTCATGGACACCAGAAGTCAGCATCCACCAGAAGACAGAAGACAGCATCAGGTATCTTCTATCACTCTCCTCTTATTTCTTTTGAGTACTATGTTTAACAAAGAACTTGACACCTAATAGCCCTAAGCAAATGACAGCACTTAAAATGGGCCATGTTTTACGGATGCCACAAGCCAGTTGTGCGTATGAACTGACAGTGGCTGCCATGCACAAGACCTGCACAAGTTCAAATCAGACTAAATCCCAGCATGAAGAAGGGAGGAGGAAAGGAAGTCCCACCTCCAGCTGAGGAGCTATGGGTAATTGGTGGCTGTTGGGATGAGGCCCCCGAGAGTCTACCCATGGTCCAGTAACCCTACAACCATGCACATACCAGCAGCACTAAATGGACTCAGTGGGTTAAAAGAAAACATGGAGTGCTAGGTGTGATGGCACAGGCCTTTAATCCCAGCACCCAGGAGGCAGAAGGCCACAGGTCTCTGAGATCAAAGCCAGCCTGGTCTACACAGCCAGTTGCAGACCAGCTGGGGTTACAGGGAGACCCTGTCTCAAAAAGACAAACAAACACCATGCATGAATGAAATTCTCTATCAAGAATGTTCTTACCAAGAACTCCAACGGAGGAGATGGGTTGCGAGGATGCAGTTTTCCAAGATGCTCCAGAGGGAGTTGACCACTTATTTACATTCCTTTCAGTGAAGAAAGCGTACTGCAGGGCTCTAGCCTGTCTTGATTTCCTAAGGTATATAAACAGCTTCTCTTCTTCCCTGATGCCCACTTCATAGGGATGCTTCACGGAGGCCTGGACTGAAAGCACACACGTCTCCGGAGCCAGGAGGCCAGGGTACTGCTTTCGCACCTTGGCGAAGGCTTCAGTAAAAACACTGTCCATGTTGGGCAAGCTTGGAACTGGCATGTTCATTATTCTGCGGGGTTCTAGAGGCTTGTCTGAAAGGGATTGTGAAGATCAGAGCTCTGCAGATACCACATGAAGGGAATAGCATGGTACACTAACAATAAATTTAGCATTAAAAGGACCTGATTACCAAATTAAATAATATACATTAAGATATTTAAGGGAACACTAATTCCAACATCTAGTATCTTAGTAAGATCATACCATAGGATAGAATTTGAGAGATCTAAAGTATCATTGTTACCAAGTTCTGTCTGAGGCCAAGACAACTTTATAATGGATTAAATATTAATCTTTCGGTAAGCCCAAAGAGGAAAGTTCCTAGTTAATATCTTAGGTTCAAAATGATTCAAATTCCTTCCCTAATAATGACAAACCCTTTGAAACACCTAGAAGAGACACAAGTGTGATGAAATGTAATGACTGGCATGCATATTAATGGAAGAGAATTCATTGATGATTCTTTCCAAATGTAGTGAACTGATTTTCAATACAGGCAAATATTTAATGGAGGAAGATTAGGAAAAAAAGCAGCAGTGTAATAACTGATATGTGCAAGCAAAACAAAGTAAATAAGCTTAGATCCTCATTCAGCATCACACATAAAAATTGACAGAATGAATCATAATTCCACTGAACTACAAACACCATAAAAATTTCTAGAAGACAAAGAAAGCAACATCTTTGTGACCTCGGCTTAGGCACCAGTTTCTCATCTACAACACCAAAACCGTATTCTATAAAAGAAAACAATAAACTGGACATGATGAAAATGAAAGACTTTTGTACCTTAGAGGGTACTGTTAAGAGAGAAATAAGGAACCACGGAAAAGAAATTATTTGAGTGAAAGGCAGAATAATGTCACCCTTCAAATGCCCATGTTCTAATTCTCAGATCCTGTGAAGTTACATGGAAGGAGAGTTTACAGGTATAATCCAGGCTCAAGATTCTGAGGTTACCCTGTGAAATATAATAATAATTGTGATAAAGGTGATTTGATAAGAATCAGTGAGGTACAACATGGGGGTGCTTAATCCAGTGGTAATGATGTAGTTTTTAAAATGGGGGAAAAGGCCATAAGCCAAAGTATGAGCAGGCCTCTAAAGCTATAAGGCAATGTCAGTTTACTTGGCCCCAGTATGATAAAACCAAAATAAGCAGGAACGGGACTCCCCAGAGAGGAGCAGGACCCTGTCTCAAAAAATAAATAAATGAATAAATAAATAAATAAATAAATAAGATAAAATAAAAACCAAACACCTACTCTGCCTAGCTAGTTAGACCCTCCCCACAGTACCCCTACCCCTGCCTTGGCCCCAGACCCTCCCCACAGTACCCCATCCCTGCCTTGGCCCCAGACCCTCCCCACAGTACACCATCCCTGCCTTGGCCCCAGGCCTTCTGATCACCCTAAGAGCTCCAGGTTGCCCTGACATGTGTACCTGTCACCACTCATTAAAGAAACTTCTTTTTGCAATAGATGGAAACTATTCCAGAGTTCCACAACTGGTCACACAAAGAGAATCAGTGTCTGTGAGATGCCCAACCCTAAGTGACACATCTACAATGCAACCTCTGCACCTAAGCTCACAGAACATAGTGGAACGGGGGTAGAGTGAATCCTAATGCCTCTCTCAGCTCTCACCAGCCTGAAAGTTTCCTTGTGCAACACAGGGCGATGCACACAGAAGGCCACAAATAGCTAAAGTGTAGAGAATAAGAAACAGGAGAGTGCATTTCCCTGGATGGGACTCCTAGATTTAACCTCATCCACCCAGGGCTAAAGGGCCATTGCAGGAGAGGGGGCGGGCAAAAGATTGCAAGAGCCAAGGGTAGGAATGTCCACAAGGAAACAGAGTTTTCCAGGCTTCTGAGAACTTGCTCATATGAACTTACAGCAATGGTGTCAGCATGCAGTAGACCCATGCAAACTTAAACCAGACAAAACCCAGCATAGAACTGGGGAAATGGGCAAGAATCCCCAAGCTTAGCTGAGGAACTATTGGCAACTGCTCACTGCAGGGTGAGGGAGAGTTGGTCTTCTTTAAGGGAATGATGCTAGACAGGTTAACCAGGTTGCAGTGAATGAACTCGTACCGAGGAACAAATGAGGACACAAACTTGACAATATAGGCCTTAACAAAAAAGACAGAATGCCCGAAATCTGGTGGGGGGCGGTTATGAGGGCTGCAGATAAAGGAGGGAGTATAAATATGTTTAAGATGTAGTGTATGAAATTCATAAAAATTCAATAAGATATATTGAAAAACAACAACAATAATAACAACAAAGTCCAGAAAAGGCAAATCTACAGAGAGACAAAAGTCATCCCATTGCCTCCCTATGGCGTAGTTAGTTATGAGTGTGTGGCAGCTGTAATGATTTTGAAGGAATCTTTCATGGGAGTGGAGTAAATGTGAAACAAGTTAGTTACCACAACTCAGCTGCACGATAACGTGCTCTAAAAGTGCTACCATCTCCAGAGTGAACCATGATATCACAAATGTACACTTCAAATATTTACACAGAAAACCTACTAGAGCTTCTGACATATGCATCATAAGAGACGTATGAGCACGCCAGTGATGTGCCAGGGGGCATCCAAGGCAGCAAGAACACTGCCCAGACAGCATCACGTGCACTCAGGCATTCTACAGTCTCATTCTGCTGTGGTTATTTGTTTTGAGTTTTTTTTTCTTTTTGTTGTTTTTCTTTTTGGTCTTTTTGAGACAGGGTCTCTCTGTAGCCACAGCTGGCCTAGAACTCACTATGTAGACCAGGCTGGCTGCCTCTTCCTCCAGAGAGCTAGGATTAAAGATGTGCGCCCAGCCTCATCCTGTTTTTTAAAGCTAAAGGCAAGAACAGTACTTGGACACATGAATATTAAGTACTTGCAGACTTGCTAAGAACAGGTTTTGCCATAACTGACCTACACAGGATGTTAAGAACAGCTTTCAGTAGCGTGTAGCTCCTCTTCACCTTGCTCCTTTGGAGAATCATGAGCTGTACCCACTACTTGCTCTGTTACCAGTGAGTTATTCCAATTCACTGTGGGGGAGGAAAGCCTAAGAGAGAAGGATGAGACGTGTTCAGGGTCTACAACTGGCGTCATTCCTGGGTGGCCGAATGAAGAGTGGACTACAGAGAAGATGGAGACTGAACCCATGTGTGGAGGCGCATTTGGAAGAGGCTGACTGTAAGGGCTGTGGCCTGACCCATGCCCGGACCAGGGACATGGCAGACCCGGGACCCTGTCCTTGGAAAGTTGCTATTGCTCCCCCACAACTGGAACTGCGTCTCAACCGCACAGCACACCCAGATTTCCCTGAAAAGTTTGAGAAGTTCAAATATCCATTGCCTGCCATAGACTCAGTTATAAAGGTTTAAGGATAGGGACAGGACACAGATTTTTGAAAAGAAAAAAAAAAAATCAACACTTGACTTTGATATACAGCCTCACAGAGCTCCATGAGCAAAGAGGCTCCATCTCAAAAACAGCTGCAGATTCTGGCAAGTACTCAGGTGCTAAGAGCAGTACAGTTCCTACATGGTACACCGGCAGTGATCAGCAGCAACTCGGCAACTGCTGAGGAAACTTGGAGGACACGGACTAAACAGCGGCTCAAATAGGCTTACAGTTCACTTCCATCCTCAGTCCTGCTCACGCCTTTTGACAAAACAAGTGGGTCATACTCAGAAGAAGGCCACAAAGGTGCGGATCTCTCTTCTTTTCTGCCAAGCTGGCAGAAAAAAAAACTGTCAGCCTGGCTACAGAGCCTGGAAGTGTGGTTTACAGTTCACAGACAGAAAGGCCTCTGACCCTGATGCCATGTGCTGCACCCATGCTAGAGGCTCTGCAAGCACTGACAGCAGCTGCCCGCCTTGGGCTTCAGGGAGGTAACCTTCCCCCGTCTCCATGGTGGCACATCAAGAGGAAACTCAAATTAGATTTGTGCTCGGGCCTCCCGTGTGAGACAGGGTCAGTCCACACACGCTCTTTGGAAGCATAGCTGTGCAAATGTTCACAGATACTAAAAATAAATTATAAAGAGCAAATGGTAAGATGAGAGGAAGAGCATAGAAAGCACCCACAAAATCCAAATGAACAAAGACCAAAGTCTTTCGACAGAAATGGAATTGCTAAAAATGGACCCAACACTCAGGGCAACAGGATCTGACAACACTCACCAACTCTACACCGAAGACGAATGAATTTCACTGTGCATAAACTACACATCAGTGCAGCTTAGGGAACCGTCTGAACTATTCCTAGTCTGGACTACTATTTATTTGGAGAATTTAAAATAAATTCAATTATGAGCTATAAAACTTGGGAAAACTAGTATATCTTAAGCTAGAAAAAATTAAAACAAGGGCTGGTAACATAGCTCTGTCACACATGTGCAAAGTCCAGAGTTCTATTCTCAGTAAGCCTTCCTGCCCCCCTGGCCCCCAAATCACAATAAAAGCAAAAAACCCTTAATACTGTCTGTGGAATTTTTTTCACTTGTCTTTATTTCCTTATAATTTTTGTGTACACTCGTATGAATCCAAACTAGCTGGGACTATAAACTATGTACCATTTTATATACTTTCTTCTTCTTGGAACTGGGATGAGACCCAGGGTTTCACTCATGTTAAGCAAGCACTATCACTAAGGCAAATCCTCAACACTGTAGATTTACACCTTAAACATTTTTATATCACAAGAAATTTTACATATCTCCATCCATTTTTCACGATTAAAATTTAAAATAGTAATATATAACTTTCCAAAGCCAGAACCATATGTAATTTATCAAGTTTTAAATCAGATGATGCCTCAATGTTAGGGTACCACCAAGTGGACAAATGATGCACACTGCTGGGACTGCGACAATTTTAAACTTCTTACACTTCAAAATTTAATGTTTATAATTATTTTATAAAGCTGAGATAAATAAAACCCCAAACCAGACCATATTATAAGCATACTGGACTGTGATCCTCATTTATTTCCTTTTATTTATTTATTTTTAATATTTTATTTTTTTTATTTTATGTGTATGCGTGCATTGCCTGCATGTAGGTAAGTGCACCCATGTTGTGCAGTGCCCATGGAGGACAGACGAGGCTGTCGGATCCTGGAACTGAAGTTATGGACAGTTGTTAGCTGCCATGTGAGTGCTAGGATCGGAACCCTGGTCCTCTGTAAGAACAGTCAGTGTTCTTAACTGCTAAGCCATCTCTCTAGCCCCTTGATTTATTTGTATGTTATGTGTATGAGTGTTTTGCCTACATGTATGGAAGTGCACCCATGTTGTGCAGTGCCCTCAGAGGAGTGTGGAACCCCTGGAACTGGAGTTATAAATGGTTGTTAACCAACATATGGTGCTGGAACTTGAACTCAGGTCCTCTGCAAGAGCACCAGTAGCTCTTAACCACGGAGCCATCTCTCTAGCCCCCTCATTTTTTCTTGAAGTAACTTAAGTCTCAAAGCAGAATCTAGAGAAACTAGGTAAGGAGAGAATTTCCTATAAAAACTGAGGCCTTTTCAAACTAAAGCCAGAAGTGTGAATGGCAGAGCTGGGTCTTTCTTGAGGCCAATTCAAAGCCTGGTTTAGGAGTCTCCACTGCAGGCAGTTTGTGCTCAGAGTTAGCTAGTGAGTTCGCACAAGACAGGCAGTGCTCCCTAGAAGCCCCCTGCAGACCGGAAGCAGCAGCCCTGGAGGCAGCGCAGCAAGGGAGACTTCTAGCTTGCAGGCCTTGCTGACTCTCCTCGGGAGCCGCCAGCATCCCCCACAATACCTGACTTTGTACTACAAGTGTTCCGACACTGAAACGCTGAACCGGCAACCATCCGGACCAGGCAGAAAGGGTGATTGAAAAAGTGGTCTTTGCCAGGGTCAGCCAAAGACCTTCTCAGTGAATGCTTTGGAATGACTCTGAACCTTCACTGCCACCATGCAGACCTTTCTGCCTGGAGCCTAACGCTCCTCCTAAATACACTGGGAATGGCTGGGGGAGCTGACAACACAGTGGACAGTAATAGGGATTTCTTGGACATTTTTAGCCTCTCCTTCTTCCTCAGGGCACACAATCTCCATACAAATAAGCAAACCAATAAACTGTAGGTGAGTTCTAGTGGAACTCTTAAAGGAGCATCACCAGTCTGAAAGCCCTGGGAAGGACGTAAAAATTCTGCTCTTTTCACTACAGTATGCCATATCAGCACGTAATTCTTAAGTTGGCCACATTCTACAACGTGGACGTCCCATGAGATACTTAAGGAGTTCCTTCTTATGCACACTTGGCTTATTTCTAGTTTTGTGTTATTTTTTAAATCATCGTTTACCTAAAACACTCTGGGCAAATCTGATTGCTTCTTCAATTGGGTCTGACCTCACAACTGTATCCAGAATGCCAAGGCTGAATGCTTCACTTGCCAAAATATGTCTCCCTGAAACAAAAGGAAATAAAACAAATCACAAACAATGTAATGATAAATTAGGGCATTGCTGTCACTAGCAAGGAAGGTTGTCATTCCTGGGTAAACACCAATCGTTAAGTAAAATGCATAAGATCACCTTGACTGCAGTGGCTGAAACATCACTCTAGGCATTGCCAGGAGATCTGAATTCCAGTAACAGCTCTAATTTTCACGGTTGGGGCAACCAGGGGAACAGTACCGGGACCCGGATTTCATCATTGCTAAATGGAGATAACTATGCTTACCAGAGTAATTCCAAGTATTCTTTTCTTTAAATACTTGTAGCTATAAATCTCTGCAGACATATGAGAGATGTTGAGTTTGGGTTGCAATAGCAAGACCTCTGCTTGGAACCCACCACACACCAGGGTCTGCGCTGATCAAGTGACAGTCTCCAAATACGGAGTTGGCTGTACAGGACAAAGAGCGCTGACTAAGCTGGCACTGCATAAAGCACAATGAGGTTCTATAGGAGAAATCAAGACAGCTTTGCTTGGCTTTGCCTTAGGCCACAGACTCTCTATTGAGCAAGCTTTGCAGCCCTGATTCCTGTGTTTCCTACAAACTCATTTTTAATCCATACAGACTATTGCTTCTAAGTTGGCTCATGTATGCACAGGTTTTTCTGTCATGATTTAAAAAAATTTTATTTTCACTTTACGTGTATGAGTGTAAGGCTTGAATGTTATGTGAGTGTACCCGTATCAAGCAGTGCCGTGGAGGCCAGACAAGAGCGCCAGATTCCCCTGCAACTGGAGTTACTGATGAGTGTTAGCTGCCGTGTGGGTACTGGGAATTGGACTTGGGTCCTCTGCTAGAGTAGTCAGTGCCCTTAACCGCTGAGCCGTCTCTCCAATGCTGTCATAGTTTTTGTTTGTTTGTTTTTGTTTTTGTTTTTTAAAGCATACAGATTTCTATTATCAATCGTCAAAAGTTTTAGTATTGGGACACTTTTTGCATTCTTAGAAATTATGAGGGACTCTAAAAGGCTACTGTCCATGTAGGCTATTATCTGTCAACATTTACTATACTAGAAATGAAAACTGAGAACTTTAAAAGTGTTTCTATATGAAACATTTTTAAAGTAATGACAAATTCATTACATGGTAACATAAATATTTGTCAAAAATCACTGCTCACTGAGCTTTACACCATTGCTCTTTCTACCACGTGTTCGTCATGACTGTCATTCATTCATAAGACCCTCAGATTGGTTTCACTGGAGAAAAGACAGATAGGGCAATAGTAATACAGAGCTGATAAGGAAGGAATGTGGACCATGCCCAGGAGGGTTCTAAGCACACTGTACTAACGGACACAAGCTTCACTGCATCCAGTACGGTTGGCACTGTTACTTTGTACACATGAAAAATCTATGGAAAAGAAGGTAGCCCAAGATCTCATAATTAATCACACTTGTTTGAAGTAAATATTTGTATGTGTTTCTGTCTTCCAACCTTTCCTCAACTGCAAATCTCTTTAGTATCTTTCAAATTAGAGTGTTGGTTAATCCTGGGTTTAGTATTATGTTACTCAGATTTCCTACTCAAAAATACAAACCTTCATTTTAAGCTGTTATATTCATACTGGGAAATGAACAATTCAGTCATTTGTACCTAAACTTGAAAATGCTGGTTTTAGTTCTTTCCTTCCTTTTTTTTTTTCATTTTAATATTTTTTTATTTAAATTTTTTTTTACAATTAAAGTTACAGTTTTAACAATATACAAAATATTACAGTAATTCAGATTTTTTGGCATAAGGATTACAGATTTGATAAATACATTTTATATCTCATAATAGTGATGAAGATTATACAAAAGCTATTAAAACAATTATAAGAATAAATTCAATTGT